AATAGATTCATCATAGATACAAAACAAGTAGCTATGGCATCATAAGTTCGTGACTGTTGAACCTCAGGAGGAATCATATGAACCTCGAATAGTTTGTTAGCAACATGGACCAGAGAAAATTGGAGGAGTCCAGCAAAATCAGTGTGATTCTCAATCATAACTTGTTTGATCTTTTGTTTAGCTGTTTTTAATTAATATCAAAACCTACAATAACAATAGTCAGTAGCTAGTCATAACATGTTGTATACATGTACCTCCTTCTCTTCTTTTAGTTGGCACTGGCATAGTTTCATCATTGCCACTGCTGCTAGGAGCATCTGAAGAATAGGCATCATAATAAATAGAATAAAAGAATAGAATAGACATTACTGTATAGCTCCAAATTGAAGCTAATGAAGCTTTGAAATGAAACTATTAATAAAAAATTGACCTACAGGTTCATAAATGTAATAATTATTGTATACATTGTAACACACATGCACTGTATAGCAAAAAAATTTTTAAGAGCTATAAATTTTTGCGATTCTTTGAAGATACGCAAAAATTAATTCAATTTATTCTGGTGCAAGATGGAAGATGGTATAATTTCATGAATATTAAATTCATGAAATATAGACTCAAAACGACACTTGAAGGATAAAAAATGAATCTAGAAATAAAAATAGGAAATATTATACATGTAGGAACAATTCACCTCAAAGTGGGTGACAGTTTTAACGTGATTTATTATCTCAAAAGTAGGTACATAAAATTTGGTAATGGTTGGTATTTGTAATTTTTGACAAAACTTGGCCAAAGTCCCTGTATACTATAGTACAGGACTTTGGTCAGATTTTGAAGCTATTTTAAAAATTTAAATTCATTGGAAGCAGCTCAAACTTTCTATGCAACATAAGAAAAGGTGTTAGAAGAAATTATAAAAATGAAGAAATCTCTACTTTTCAATTTTGGTGAAATTTGGCCAAGGACCATGTACTAAAGTATAGAGACTTTGCCTAATTGACCTGATTCAAAAATTTGTAAAAAATCCAAATTTGATTGGAGCTGGCTCAAACTTCATACACAACATAAATACATGTATGTGCATCAGAAAAAACTATAAAAATGGAGAATTCTCTTCTAGCCATTTTTGACAAAATTTGGCCAAAGTCACTGTACTATAGTACAGGGACTTTGGCCTAATTTTTGAGCAACTTTAAAAATTCATAAAAAATCCAAATTTGATCGAAACTGGTTCAAACTTTCTATGCAACATAAGAACAGGTGTTAGAAGAAATTATAAAAATGAAAAAATCTCTACTTTTCAATTTTGGTAAAATTTGGCCCAGGACCATGTACTAAAGTACAGAGTCTTTGGCTTGATTTAAAAACTCGTAAAAAATCCAAAATTGATCAAAAATGGCTCAAACTTCTACGCAACATAAAAACAGACATGTATACACATGACATGCACAATAATTCAATTAATTATAATAATGTATATCATCCTTAAATAACTCTACATTTACCTGATCCCAGTCATCCCAATGCTGATCCAGGGTATTAGACTCATTAGCTCCTTAGGCTCCATGTCCCCCCGGCCTAGTCTCACTAGCCAGACCATTCCCCAGCTACCACCCAATGACTGTAGGCTGGTCTGGCAACCAGTAGCTAATAAGACTTACCGACCCTCAGCCCCTTTAGCTCCATTAGGTTCACCTCTATAATGAATCTTATTGGAGTATAAATTTTTGAATGAACATGCACTCATTATTTAATTATAGTTATGATAATGTATATCCTCCTTAATTAATTTTACATTTACCTGTTCTCAGTAATCACAATGGCGGGTCCAGGGTATTAGTTCCTTAGGCTCCATGGCTTTGGCAGGAGATGCTGTTTTGTTCTCAGTTTTGTTGCACTTTCCTCCATTTTATTGATTAAAATTTATGAGCCACACCTCCTTCATTGAAATGAAACCCCTCCTCTTTTAATTTAGTAATTATATTTCAAAAATGAAAGAGTTGGAGTGAAAGGAAAGAACCAGAAGAGTGGAACATTACATAAATACAACATTTTAAAATAGAAAATAACATTAGCTAAAAATTAAAATCATTTAAGTGCAACATCATTGATCATTAGTTCTAACTCTTTTCACAGACTGTTCAAACTGAAGTGCACCCTCCAGAGCTGTTGTCCATTTTTCCCGCAAGCGTTTAGCAACACGTTCTATTGGTCCCCCAACACTAGACAGAGCCTCTAAAAATGTCATACAATGTTCCTCAAGATCAGACTTAGAGTCCAATATATTCATCATAGATAGAAAACAGGTGACTATGGCATCATAAGTTGGTGACTTTTGAACCTCAGGAGGAATCATATGAACCTCGAATAGTTTGTTAGCAACATGGACCAGAGAAAATTGGAGGAGTCCAGCAAAATCAGTGTGATTCTCAATCATAACTTGTTTGATCTTCTGTTTAGCTGTTTTAATATCAAAACCTACAATACCAATAGTCAATAGTTATAGTCAAAACATGTTGTGTACATGTACCTCCTTCTCTTCTTCTTTTAGTTAGTACTGGAATAGTTTCATCATTGCCACTGGCTGCATTAGCAGCAACTAATATACATAACATGTATATAATGAATATTAATAAACTGATTATTACCTGCAGTATGATGAGCTGTTCTTTGTGACATCTGAATATAAAATGTAACAGGATCAGCCACACCCTCTACTGGTACAGAGTAGTGTAATGTAGGAACAGCATCAGGTGATGAATAGACCGATATGAGACAAGATGGAGGAAGAGAATAATCTTTGTCACCAAAATTGTAAATGTCCTCTTGATATAACTAGTATAAAAATAATTTAATGAAACAATCCATAAAATAGTTTTTACCCTGCAAGGTTTTATGTGAGGTTTGATACTCCATCCAGTAAATGGCTCATCTTGTGGAGCATTTAAATTTAATTCAACAAAACCATCAGGAGATGCAATA